AATTTGGTGAAAGGAAATTCAGTTTCTCCTTCTAAAGCATATTACTTGTGTTTCCAGTGAATCCTTTTTTAAGGCCAAGTTTGAATTAAATAAAATGACTGAGAATATTATTTATAGGATGTGAAACCACTTCCCTTTGTGGATAATACTTTAAACAAAGACTATATTACAAATAATTGTGTGTCACTGTGTTGTTAGACTGAAGACACACTAGAGCAAAGTGCCTTTACTGTAGGACAGTTGTTGGCCAAAATCAATTATAATGACCATATTGATTTTTAGCTAACTGCCTATGAAATTTCAAAAGATTACAACTTTAATTGATATTGAATTGTGTTGACTTGATTGATTTCCACATCTGGTTTAAGTAGGTACTTACTGAGTGCTCAAAACTCTAGTGGTGTTCAGAGCTGGGAGTGGAAGAAGGAGAGGAGAAGAGATTGTATAATGTTGCCAGGCAGGATTGAACTGGGAAAGGAGGAATGGAAAGGGAAGATGATGTCTCTGTTATGTGCATGTTCAGGGTAGAAAATAGATGTGAGAACAGGAATGTGTATGTAGCTTGGAGGCAGGTGCCCTAATAATAGGGAAATGAAGAGAATGAAGAAAGATTAGCTTTAGACAGGGCTGAGTTGGGATGGGGATAGGGATTGCTACTTCTGTAAGGATTAGCAGTGTGGCTCCATCCAATTTGACCCATTCACTCCTGGGGATATCTTTGAATTTACTATTAAAGGCATGACAACCAATCGCGGGGTTTTGGAGGGGAGTTTATTTAGTGTAGCCCCAGGTATTTGCATACTGAGTGTTGAAGCATCTCTTCACTGCCTTTGCTCATATTCTTTCTCCCATAATCATCTGGATATGAGAAATTCCATGTGTCAGTGTCACTTCCAGTCAGAGGAGTATTTTCAAGGTCTGTAATTCTGATTCTTGCCTTTTATGACTTACCATTTCAAAATGGCTTGACTCGTTAGTGCCATCTGTGGGGCAGCAGGAATATGGGTCCTGTCTGGTTTGTTGTTACCTTGCTGTGCTGGAATTGCCTTGTTTCCCAGCTTCTGAGTGAGTATGGAGTGGGTATATGGTATTTCAGTACTGTCACACTGCAAATGAATCCTAAACCTGTTTCCAAGGAGGATTTGAATCCTTCCTACACTGATTTCTGTTTACAACTTATATGTATGACTGAATCAATAATCAGCTAATGACAATGTGAAGAGCGAAACTAAATTGTGTGGTGTTATTGAAAAGGCATTACTGGATCAGAACTCTGGGGCATGTAAAGTATTTGCTGAGTTGTTGTGAGTCGGATTTATTGATTTGTTTTCTTCCTTGTGTTCTGCTGATTCCATAATTCTGTTCAATAGATGAGCATAAAGAATGTATTTCTACCATTAAGAATCAGGGGCTTGATGTACTGCATCAGACTATCAAAGCAGATATTTTGATCCCAGTAGTATGAGATACCTGCTGCTTTAGAGGAAGGCTGTGCTCATCCGTGAAACTTTCCTTCTGACCTCTATGCCATTATTGTATTCTGTGAAGCATGCAGTGTAAACATCAATGCTGTTAATAGCCATAAATAATTCCTCTTTCTAAAAATTTTTTTCTGATCCATGTTGTTGACTTGCAGATGAAGTTGCTAAGTATCTCTCTAATGAAATTAACTATTACAGTCACAATTAGAAACTAAGGAAATGGAAAGCTAAGACAGCATGAAGAATTGACAACCATAGCAATTGACTGAGATGGGGTGCTGCATAAAATAAAATAAAGATACATTCTCCCATGAGTGATCACGAAAGCTTTTACTCTTGACTAAAATAAATAGTTGCTAGGTGAACTGTACGAATAGCACTGAAGGGTGTGTGGAAGTACAAAGTAACTTACTTAGAGTTATTGCAAAGCAAGATGTTTGATGTGTTTTGTGAGGTCTGTCAACATAGATGGTAGTTTTCCAGGTACGTAAAACTGATTTCTTTTTAGGCGGAGGGGTTAAATAGCAAAGGGTGCATGTAACTATATGCAAGTGAGGAAAACTGGAAACTGATGGGACTTTCATGCTTAAGCTGGAGAGTGCTAAGGTACTTCAGTGTGGAGATGACTTAAGTGCTTACTGAAGTATGGATTTTGGTATTATTAGACTAAATGGTTAGGTTAGTAGCCAAGATGTTGCCTAGGAAACATTATAGTGCTGTTGGTAAAAGCAAATTTTTGGGATATTTGCTCTTGTAATAACATAAGTCGTAACATGAATGTGGAACAGATTCTGGACAGTCTAAACCAGATTACAGTTTGGTCACAGTTGTAAAATGTGGCCTGGGATGAAGCAGAGAAGTTTTGTTCAACTAAATTTTTGCAGGCCTCTGCAATAGAGACTCAAATGTGACCAGGGAGTTTCTTACTGTGTGTGTATGAAATGGGGTCCTCTAGGACCTGGTGGTGATGGGGGTGTGGGAAGGGGATGGGTTTTTTGGTAACTGTGTCCATCTGTGAGAGGTGCTGTGCTGCCAGAAGGGCCGGAACTAAATCCTGACGATCTTGGCTGCGTGGTGGAAAGCAGTTGTTGATATATTTACTGGAATGATAATTCCTGTCTGTGAGAGCTCAGACTACAGCACGCAAGCTTAGAGAATAAGCCTGGATACATCAAAGCCTGATCTTGAGTGAATTCTTTATTATGATTTTTTTTTTTTAATTCTTTTGACTATGTAAAAATAACCAGAATTGAGAAGTGCTGGGTTACTTAAGAGAATCCAGGGGTTGCTGGTAAACTTTGCTGATGTAGGATTAATGCTGTATATGAGCTCACGTTAAATTCAGCCAGCTATTTTAGCCAAAAATAAGGGAAGTATAATTCAAAAAAAGCTATGATGCTGCAGCAGCACTTTTTAGAATATTTCAGCTTTTAATTTACGTTTTTAAGTGAAGCTAATAACAAAATAAAAACTTGATTTCTCATAACAGGATAGTTATAAGTTGAAAGCTAATTTCTCTTGATTGAGTCACAATACAAAACCAGTTATTCACAGTTCTGTTGATAGTGCCAGAATTTACCTTAGCAGTTCAGAGAAGTGAAAAAAAAAATCCATTCTGCCTATCAGACAGGGCTTTCACTGAATCTGACATTTAAGACTAACCAAGTGATGTCCTCTTTTGCCTATAAAACTGGGAAATTGTCAGGGGTCAAACTGAGTGCCTATGGGATGGTTACAGGAGAGGTGAGCAGATCCTTAAGCCACAGTGAAAGGAGAAAGTATATGAAACTGTACAAGTGGAGATAGTGTCACTGAGACTTTTTTATAATGGGAGGACATGGTACTGTTCAGATCTGCCCTCTGCTGACAGAAGTGTTTAGTGTGTAGATGTGCTGGTTTATATTTCTTTATAAAGCAAAACATGATGGCCTGACTGCCAGGTCACAAGGAAAGTCAAAGTAGATTTTATTACAGACACTAATGGAATTTCCCTCACTGGATTACACCGAAGAGGCTCTCCAAAGATCTGACCTAAGTCCGTTATCTGACTCTCCTTATTTTGTGGTTTGCTTGATGAAAGACAAGAAAAAGGATCAAGTTTGATGTTGCAATTGTGATTATTTTAAATTATTTTTTTCTTATAATTGTTTTTTATTTCCCAAACACCACAGCCTCCAAATGATTTTTCTTTCTTTGGTATATGTTTTCAGTTTCATCAATGTGTGATGAGGCACCAGGAGCAGAAACCAGAATCGAGTGGTAACATCAAGATCATATTGTAGTTGTTTGAACCCAAAAGAGGCAAAGCTAGACAGTGCTCTGAGAGGCAGAGAGTTGCCCTTTGTTGTGACAATCTGGATTAGCTGTAGCATATCAGGGATATGTGAATTAGAAGCTTGCCTGGTTTTTAGCTGCCTGGTTTTGTTTTGTTTTTGTTTTTTACAGTGTTAATGTAAGACATCAGTGATGTAGATTTACTGGTATTGGCCTCTAAACTAACGCCTTGTTCCAAATGAGCAATTATAAATTGTGCTTTAAGTTAGCTGACTGTAGAAAATGGGAAGGAGCAGGATCATGTTAGCACTAATGAAGGAAAATGGCATGAAATATTAAATAACTATTATAATAAGATACTTCATAAATCCAAAGGAAGTAGAGGTGAAAAGACCTATAAGGTCACCTAACCTATCCATTCTAGGGAACTGGCTTGCTGCCTGCAATATATAATCATTATCTGCTACGCCAGACTAGCTCTGAATGCCCAAAACTTTAGTGCTCTTACTGCAGGCATGTGGGAAGAGAAAAGAAAGGGTGATACATTCCTTTTCTATTTCTGAAACCTTTAGTCAGATTTACATGTTTACATTTTTTTCCCCCTTTATTTCATCTTTTGTTTTAATTTTGTTTTTCTGCTTCAATGTCAGAAAGCCCTGAAGAGTGAGATGACTTTAATCATTCTGGATAGCTATGCTATCTATATCTCTTTTGTCTTTGTCACTTTGATTGACAATTCTCTTTTTGAATCTTTCCCAGTTTTTAATCTTTTTTCTTCTGGCAGCTGGGTTCACTGGCTAATCACCCCACAGTGGTAGTGTGTGGCGTAAGAATATTTTCTTATACTTTCTCCTTTTTTTCCCTTTTCTGTCCCCCCTCACCACACTTTTTGCACATCCTCATTGGGTAAATATGCCTTTAGGAGAAAGCAATATCATTATTATAGAGCTGGAAGTCAGTAATGATTTGCCACAAAGAAAGGTAGTGTGAGCAGTGGAGCCTTAGTGGAGGTATTGTGTCACTTTAGAAGGTTGCTGGAGTGAGCAGTACCAAAAAGGTGGTTTGTCTTTTGTTTGACTGTCATGAACTTGAATGTACACCCTGAAAAACAAGTACTTGCTCAAAGAAGGTAGCATCCATGTAATGCTCTATCCATGTCTGAGAAGAAGGCGTAGAACAGTTATTTAGCCTGAGTGTTTTTATTCTTATTTCTTTGTTTCATTTACTCTGTAATTGCCTTTTCAGCCCGGTCAAGGAGTTTGGTGATGGGTGAACAGATTGGGCCTCCCTCCAGACCTTCTTCTCCAAACCCTCAAGAACGTGTGCTGAAGTGTGGCTGGCTAAAGAAACAAAGGAGCATTATGAAGAACTGGCAGCAGCGGTGGTTTGTGCTGCGTGGGGATCAGCTCTTCTATTACAAGGATGAAGAGGAAACTAAACCTCAGGTATGACTTACTGGTTGTGACTTCTGTGTAGATCACAGTTACTGCTTTGATTGACAGCTCATTTCAGTTGCTTTCTATCCTTGCCAAAACCATACATGCTTAAGAAGGTTCAAAGGCAAGAGACATGGTAAGGAGACTTTTATCAGGAAAGTCATAGAGCTTGGGAAAAGGTTAGAAGGTGTTTACTTACCCACTAGGGCATGCTGACCTCCAAATCTTAGTTTGGTCATCTGTGAGACTGGAGTTTGACAGGAAGAGCTATGGAGTTCCAGATTCCTGAGGCAGGAGTGATTAACCTTGCTTAGTCAGCTGGGACTCATTATCTCCCAGCTAATCCATTGTTTGCTGAGAGGTGAACCAGCTGTGTAGGGCTGGCTTGTGTGTGTAGAGTGGGTGGATTTTGTTACTTGCTGGCATGAAGGGCTTGAGAATGGGCTGTAATATGTTTTAGCATTGTGGGGGAAGGAGAGGGTGTTGTGCTATGGGATAAAGCTTATAGAGGAGATAAAGAATTTCTTATTCATCTTCTTCAAATGCCTGTAAAATACTCTTGCAGTGTTTGAGCTAAGGTCTTCCCTAGTTGCTGTAGTAGATTATGTATCATAATTCATGTAGTTATTGTTTTGACTGTCAGACCTTTAGCCAGAGTCATTGAACAGAGGGAACATAATTGAATAAGCCAGACAATGTCCCTGTACTGCTGCCTCCTGATGAGTCAGTACAGGCATTACAGAGTGACAGCCTGTGTAATATCATCACCATCCACACGCTCATTATAGATGATTATTGAACTGCTTGATGCAGCTGTGTGCTTGACTGTCACATAAATTTCATTGTAGAGTGAGAATGGAAATGAATATTCCCCTGTGGGCCTGATATAAGTATGGTAGATGAATGAGGATCTTATATCTTGCACTCTCCTAATCAGTGATTTGGTCCATCATTATGGACAGCCTGCCCACAGAAACCTGGACCTGATGATGTAACCTGGTTACTCAGGATGCTGCAAGCAACAGCTGGATTTTGTGCTTTGGTTAAGCCAAGCACCTTATATTCATGTGCAATGGATATGGAGAGCTGGGCACTTCTGAACTGTGTTAGTGACCATGATGAGGAAGAAACTGCCTCAGTAGTCATGTTGTAAAGCATTTCTTTACCCCGGCCCTTTTGGGGCATGGGGTTGCCATACATTTATCACCATGGGAAGCAGTTTTCACAGAATCACAGATTATTATTTTGTATAGGATGATAAAGAACTGTGTCCTGACTATTCTTTTAGGAATTGCAAACTAGGATTTGCATCGGACTTGAGCTAGGACTGTATGCATCCCACAGGTGAGATGTACTTTTGGAACTTGTAGATAGCTATTGCTTGGGATTTTCTGGAATGAGAGGGCAATGGCACAGGGATGCCCACAAAGAAACACAATTGAGACCTTGGGAGATCTTTGTTACAGGCCATGGAGATATTTGCATCAGTTGATATTAATCCCTAATTTCCTTTAGCCTGAAAGGTACTCATGCTTAATTTAAGTATTTTTGTTTTATATATCAAGTGTGGTCTGCAAGCTTGTGCGCAAAAACTAAATCAGTAGCTGCACCAAAATTCCCATTGATCTTCTGCCTACTTGATTATTTATACATACTCTGGAAGAAAGTTGCATTCTTATTGTTTAGCTGATAAAGTCAAGTGAGATTTATGACATAATGTTTCAAAAGACAAACATGAAATAACAGCTTTTTGTTTATGGATGTTGCATTGCCTATTTTTACAAAAATCAGATTCTAAGAGGAAATTGCAGATGTTCTTCCCTTGATAATAATGCTAAAAAGATGGAGCTGTAATCTAATGGCAGGAGAATCACACAGGCTTTCTGGAGTGAAGAGGAATTACTCTGTGGTCTTAATGGATTGAGTACTGTTGAAGGTGTGTGCATTTGTGTGCCATATGACATAGTTGCAGTTGCACAGCCCACTCGGAGTCCAGTGTTTAGAGGGTGGACTTGCAGACGTTACTTTTCTTGAGTGTTTTCTCAGGTTGCCCCCATGAGGAAAGGGGGAAGGGAGGGCTGACCTGCAAAGAGCTTTTGATGCTCCTACTGACTCTGTCAATATATTGGTTGGTTTTTAAAGTAGCTTTGGGTTCATTTCTATTCCCAGGATAGGAGATAGCATGCACTCCTCCGCAGTTTCCAGGGGAACAGAAGCCACTGTGCAACTAATTCATTAACCTTTCTTTCAGTATTGACTTGGCATGATAAAAGGCTTTAGTGCATTTGCAGTGGGATTGAATTTTGCCCTCTAGAAAACAGCAGAATTTTCTAGAATGTGTTCTGGCCACTGGACTCCAAAGATAATGTTGTATGTTATACTTTTTTGTGCCATTTGGAATAATTTGAAATGCATCTGCATTTTTGTCATGTTGCCTTTCCAGTGTTTTCCTGTTATCTTTGGAATGCCTTCAACATGTCTTCAAATTTCAGTGAACTTCAAAGTCAAATTGTAGGGCAATAGGATTGGGAGGGGAGGGTGCTGAAAGTTTATCCTATTCTGTTGACTTATTTTACCTTAATTTTAAAACTCGCAACCATTCTAGATAAACCTCTCAGTGTGGACTTTGCTAAGTGTCCTCCTATATTGTGTCCTTCCACAATCTTACCCTTACACTAAGTAGGGGACAGGAACTGAACCTTGACACTCTTCTGCAGCACTACCTGAGGAGCCTACTGGGGATTAGTGTTGATCCTGTTCCAGTCAGTGAGCAGAGATGGCAACGATGTGATCTCCACATAACGCTTTGTAATGGGACACACAAAAGGCAGAGTGAGAGTCGCAGGGCAGCTGCATCTGTAATGTGAAGTGGGGGTCATAAAGCACAAACTTGGTGAATATTTTTATTCATTATACTGAATACCTGGAGAATGCACATTGAGAATGATAATGGGAGTTAACTAGCTGTTAGATATACCTAGTAATAACAGGACAGCTTTACGTCTCCTTCTCCAAGGGGACTGCATGAGCCTGCACATGGCTGTCCTCTCACACTATCCACAAGTTTCCTGAGCATTTCTTGTCAGTAAAATCCACCTAGTAGCTGTCTGTTTTTTCATTCTAATCTAGCGTGTACTTTGCAAGGTGAAGGAGCAAAGCTCTTCTTACATTTGGAACAGGCTGGAATGTCATCATCGTGCAACTCATTGTGGAGAGTATTATCTGCTAATGAAGATAAGTTTGGTTTGGTTTTTTTCCCCCTTGTGGAAACAGACATCCAACACCTGGAAAATATTTGAAATAACCAGATGTCATTTTTCTGTTTACTCCATCAGCAGGCTGGACTGTTGCTGTTACTCATACCTGTAGGTGCTCCTGTAAGCCTCAGGTCCAGTATGGTTTGTAGGTACAGCTTGACTGAAAAAATACATAAAGCTGCTAAAGCCTTGGTTTAGAGGTTTTGAACATGCATTAAGCTTGAAAATCTTTTGTTCATTTCCCAGTACTTTACGGTAGATGAGTTGGAGGGGGAAAACCTTCAGGCCTGGCTTCAGTCCATTACCTGGAAGGTGTATGCCCTTCCACCCTGCCCCCCACCCACGTGGCCTGTGACCCCACAAAGGAGCACTCACCAGACCACCAGGGAGAGACGGACGAAAGAGGAAGTTTATTGTGAGGTGGGGGTTTATATAGCTCTTGGGAGGGTCAAAGGGGACCAATCACAGGTGAGGGGTCTTACAAAAACCAATCAGGTAGGGAGTTAACAGCCAAATAAGGAAGGGGTTAACAAAAGACCAATGAGAACACCTTAAGGCATCTTCCCAGGACACTCCTGCCTGAGAGATAAGGGGTCTTACAGAAGGTATCGGGAAGGAGCAGCAGTGACTCTGCAAAAAGCCATCTTAACACGTGTTTAAACGACATTAAAAACTTCTGATTCCCCAGTCCATCTTTGGCAGGACTTTTTCCATACATCCATTGCTACAGTACTGACTCTAGAAGTTTTTAAGGGCTGTTATTAACAAAATGTTTCCCTCAAACAAAACCTAGCTCTAGTAATGTTAATGCAGCAATGTCTGCTGTCAGCCTGAGCCAGCAAGTCATCCTTCTTTGTCTGTGATTGACACAATCATTATTGAGTGTCCAGGTGATGAACAAGAGAGGTGAGAGAGGTCTTTTAAAAGTTCATGCCTGACTACATCTGGGAGCGTTCTTCACAAACAACTAAGAAAGTTTCCCTTGTTACATTTCCTGGTCTGAGACAAAAGGATCTGAGACAACAATTGACTTATCACTTGAAATGTGGGATCTATCCTTTAGCCTGCTTTAAATCTGAGGCAGTTTGGCTTCCATCTCTTTTACTGAGACTATGGCTAAGTCTGGTCATGGGTTAGCTTGGACTATATGATCCTTAGAATTCAGGGTTGGAGATTATTCATTGGTATGAAGCTGTTGCAGAAATTTTGTTCTGTATTTAGTTAAAATAAAGATATTCCTGTATTCAGTTCGTCATCCTTAGCCTGGGATTCAGAAGCCCATACCCGAGGGCAGATTTGAGTCCCACTATTTCCCCCCTCCAGTCTTTTAAGGATTTGTAACAGTGACTGAAGTGCTATTTTAAAGGTAAAGGTGTGAGAATTAGGATGATCAGTGTTTTGACACCAACTATATTTGTTGAGGGACTCAGACAAGTAAATGAAGCTTTTCAGTCATGTTTCCTGTGTCACAGACTTTCTTTATCAAGTACTGGCTCTAGAGAGCCTGGTACAGGCAGGATTTCTCTGTTGATCTTGTTAGGGAGAACTACAGTAATACCATTAATATATGAACACTTGTCCTCTTTAAGATTCTCCCTCAAAGCACCAAGGCCCCCAAAGGGTATAAGGTGGTGCTATCATCAAAAAAGGGTTTTGAGCCTCCAGCTTAGGAAGGTCTGCAACCTTTTGCCTGCCCCTTGAGCTGTTCAACCATCTCAGGCTCCCAAAGCCTGAGGGAGGGAGGAATAACTCGGTCGTGAGTTGACGTTTATTTCTGGAGCATGCTTTGGCATATATCAAGTTAGACTTTGGGGAATTTAAACTGATTTAATCCATCATTAATTTACTTCCCAAGCAAGATTGCTAATGCAGTCTGAGTGGCTGCTGGAGAAGGACACATGAATCTGTTTGAATTTAGTCATGTCCTTCTACCAGTGACAGCAACTGTCAGAATTGATACACCCTCCTTGTTAAGATAAATTACTTTTTTCTACCTTTTCATCTCTGTTTGTTTGGAGTTCCCCATAGCTTGCCAGGGCAGATTGGACAGCTGTGAGCTAGGCACTCTGTTACCCTCTGGGCAAGTTTTTTGTCCCCTGAAAGGACTGGTTATAGAGAGAAATCAGCAGAATTTGCTGGGGTGCAGAGGGAAAAGTGCAAGAAGCTGATCTGAAAATCTTTGCTCTATATACGCTTATGACCTAAGAATACTTTCCAGACATGGGCCTATTTTTCAGGCTTTTCTTGTTTTTCATAGATGAAGTGAGTGTCTCTCAATTTTAATTTCTGAAAAATCATTCTTCTTGGTCTTTTACACATAAGACCTACTCTTTTCTGGTTTGTTTTGCTACCAGCTCAGTTTGCTGCTGCTTCACTGCAAAACTGAATGAGGTGTGTACTGGTAAGGAAAAAGTAGCTTTACTGATGTACAATACACGTTTAATTGAAGGTGATTAAAATGAGAGTAAGAGACAAGTCACTTCAATTAAAACTTTTTAGAGAATATATGAAATCAAATATCTTCTAAAAAGGATCAAAAAAAGTGTATTTTGATTGGGAAATGCTTTGGTTTAGGGTGTTATTTCAGGCAATTTATGCCTCTGTAATCTCTTCTAAAGTAAACATCACCCTCTTGTCGAAGGTGTGTCTCACTGAAGAGGGGGCAGGTGAGATTGCACCATATGGTGCATCAAGCATGGCAAAAGTCCATTTGCTTAGTTTTGTTACAGGAGAATGGTGACTGAGTCAAGCAAAGTACAACCTTTAGAAAGCATCACAGAGTGAGAATTTGGTTTAACCCTTTGACTTCATCACTGACTTCAGTTTCCTGCCGGAAGATGGATTTTCTGAAACTCTAGCTTGACAGCATTCTTCTATGAACTGCTCCTACTCTTCACTGTAAATACACTCTCCTCCTGTATATACTGCTATGCATCTTCACCCTTCCATACTATAAAACAGCAAAAAGCTAGCTTGTATATCACTGGGTTCTGCCTAAAGTATGTGTGACCCAGAAATACATGTTTTCCAGGTTTACTAATTTAGGCTAAGGGAAAGAACCCTCCACAAAAGTGTTCCTTTTTCTGAAGTAACAGAGGACTTGATTCAGAGTCCTGAGTTCTGCTTGATTATAAATGTGAGGTTTAGGTAACCATTTCAAATGGGAATTTCTGCTTGCTTTATACTATACAATAAAGAAGGCCTAACTTTGTGGGTTTTTTGAGGGATTGTAGGCACTTGTTTTGAGATGGGTTAGTTTTGCTTAGAGGGCTTCTTAAGAGAGGACTGTACCTTAAAATAAGAGATAGAGTTCAGTTACTGGGTCTCTAAGAGATTTTCTTTGTACAAAATGTAATTTTTTTCCTCCAAAGAAAGCAGCTGTTAACATTTAAGAGAATTACATCTTGTGATGCAAAAGTGTTACCAGCTTTCAAATGATAACTGAAGCTCTGAAAGTCTGATCAGCTGGGATCAACTGATACCATATTAGTTTTTATTGCCATATTTGCAGCTTCTGTTAATAAAATAGTGACCTGAAAGTGTAAATTTACAACTGAGAATGCGTAAACATCAAGTTTAAGTTAAATCGACAAAATAATTACTTGGAATTTGATGGGTTTATTGTTTCCTTGTTTGGCTTTTTTTTTTTTTTCCCCCACCAACCAGCTTTCTGATTTTTTTCAGGATTCTTGTGTTTTCTGAACATTCTTGTCTTAGGCTATTCTGAAATACTTTGTGGTTTCATTTGTGTAAGTAAGATTTTTAAATTTTTCTTCTGCTTGTGCTACCAGTTCCCTAGGCATGTTCCATATATTCCTACAAGTGGGAGTTGTCTGAATTTCTGTATGCAGCATTAAAACTTTGTCCTATTCTTCATAAAGGAACTTTTTAAAAGAAAGAATTGCGACCCTACCATCTATCCACGTGCCCTTACTCATGTGCTTCAGCCTCAGATTAACATAGGAACTACTTCTTTTGCTCCCCTCTCTTTGTAGAACTTTGTTCTGTGGGAAGGCAAGCAGATACTTTTATTTAAGTTTTGTTCATTTTACCTCTTCGATATGGTGTCTCTAGGAGAATGCTATGTAGCTACTTTATAACTTTTGCATTCAGTATGAAGAGGAGATGAGGAGGGAGCATGAACCTCTCAGTGTACATCCCATTAAATCATTTTCGTTTCAAAGAACTACCTGATAGAAACCACACTAAGAAAGCAGTCCTGCTCAAGCCACAGTTTGAGACTGCTCCTTGTCAAAATATCCTAAGCACTGGGTAAAAGAAAGACTGAGGGTCTTGTCTTCAAAAATCATGCTGTGGTCAGTTGGTCACTGTTTGGTCCTTGTTCCTGGCTGACATAGTATTCCATGACACTATCTCTACTTTGTGTGGATCTCATGACTTGCAGTACACACAGGGCTTTAATTTGCCTGATACCCCTGAGGGATGGCTAAACATGGAAGTAGGTTGCTGAGTGTACAGTGTCATGGGAAGTGAGTTTTGTTTTGTGAAGAACAAATTTGAGTACTTGTGAGACATTTTCAGTTTCCAACAAACAACTCCTATTAAAGCAGCAAGTCTCTTTAATAGGATGGCTTGTCAGAACTGAAATGTCAACTTGTAAACCTGCATGACTTGGAGCTTATTTCCTAGCCGAAGTATTTTCCATCTCAGGCATTACTGTTGTTTTGTAGTAGTTTTTGAATGTTCTATGTTCAAAGAAAAGAGTAAAACTTAATTCCTTTACATTTAACACAAGCTGGCTCCTTGGACAATTTTAGTAGTTTTCTGAACAAAGCATCTTGAGGAAAATGTATTCCCAAGGGGCAAAGCCATAGAAGTTACACCATAATAGTTGGAATGAAAATTAACACATCTGGCTTCTTTATTTTATTGAGAAGATTTCAAAGGTCCTATGATGAGTTGTCTTTTATTAGTTAAAATTCTGGATTGTCTGTCTCATGAGACACTAATTGTATTACTCAGTTTTATATGGATTCGTTTTGATTACCAATATTATGATGGTCCAGTGTGCCTTGGATTTGGTTGTTGCCAGATCGGCTGGTGAGAATGTAATTATACACATTTACTAGAGAGATGTGTGGAAAAAGAAAATTACCAAAACAACTTTGTTCATTTTCTGTTCAGTGAAGAAAAAAATGTTCTTTGGACCCAGTTTCCATTCCAGGTCAGTTCAGTGCATGAGTAGGAACTCCTGATTACCCCATTCAATGGCTTGACTCTTGAGAGTTCCAGTTCTTATTGCCTTTTGTCTGCCTTACTGTGAGTATATGCTGAAGAATGTTTGCTGGAAACCCTTTAAAATGTCAAAGATTAAATGCTTGTTCCACTCATGTTTCTAGACAAGAACTCCCTGTGATCTCTTTTTCAACTTTACACAGATGAAGAGGACTTTATTCACTTTGAAGATACTATGTCACCAACTATGCAGAATTCCCAAACTGGAGTAGAGCATGTTAATTATGCTTGGGCTCAAAGTGGAAATGAAGCCGAATATTGGCAGCATTTGAACTTGGGAAGTAAAGGGGCTCAGGTTTCCTTCTAGGGAAACTATAGTCTTCTGGGATAAAAGGAAGTCCACTGCTTTGCAAACCTGAATTAGCTGCTTTCCTCCAGTATCTCCCTGGGAACTTCTATGTACTGAGGATCTCTGGAAAATGGTTCATTTTATTCAATTGCAGAAATAAAGATATACCTTAGAACTTCAGCCATCTTGTTGGTGACTGAAGTTTCATGCTGCAACCTGAAATTAAAGGGTGAAGGAATAGTAGATGTAATGTGAGACAAAATTATCGCAAAGGATGATTAGTTATGGAAACCAAGGCGAATCACCTCCACATGCTTGGAGTATTGTTATCCCAGAGGAAAGAGCGTTTGACCAGAAGTGTCCAGTGTGAGAGAAAGGACAAGTGAAGCAGGAGCATGACCAGCTTAATCTTTTCTTGCTCAGAAATGTGGAAAGAAGTTGGGTTCAGTCGATGAGCAAGGCTTAAATTTGCTATGTATCATATCGTCTTTTCTTTACTCTTTTGGTGGCTTTTACCTTTTCACTAATGTTTGTGTCCCTTACAGGGTTTGATATTACTGCAAGGCAATCAAGTGAACGAGCTGCCACCTAATCCTGATGAACCAGGAAAACATCTCTTTGAAATTACCCCAGGTATGCCACCATTTCCTAGTGCTTTCAACATAACATCACTTTATTCCCATCAATTCTCATTAATGATAATCAAATTGTACTGATCATTTCACTCCTAAGTGTTCTGATACACTCACCAGATTATCTAGTGAGGCTGGGAAATGGGACTTGACAGATTACATGGTGTTCTTTGTTTTGGATAAAAGTGCTGCTGTGGTATCTCATTTTCATTTCATGGTAGTTGAGATGCATAATGCTCCTTGATTTTTCTGTTTGGAGGGGGCTCCTTGCTTGGAGTGCTGTGTGGTCTCTCAAGCTGATGTATTTTTCTGGTTGTTTAGGGAGAAACTGATACAGAACACACCACAGAATTTATGGAAAAGGGGCATGCAGTATCTGGATTTAATTTCTTTCATGTATACTAGCCCTCATGTATAGTAGTTTCAGAGGTCAGGGAGAGAAAAACTCTTCAAAACATTTCTTTTTGGATGAAAGGTTAAAGAGAACAGGTGACCTGGCAGGGAAGAGAGGTTGAAATTTTATTTGATAGAAAGTATAATGATCAGTTTAGTGTAGTATTAATGTAAAACTTTTGCAGTTGTTTTAGCTCCCATGTAAATGCTTCTTCAGGACAGGATCGGTACCTCCAGTGTATATTTGAAGTTGAGTTCTCTGTTGTAAGATAGGAGCAATTGTATTCACTTTATTCAATTCTGATTGTATTTGGGAGAGGGCCATCCCTGTGCATAGATTTGAATACACTTTTGGAGATAGTTTCAGATGGCAGGATCTACAGAGAAAACAAACAACCTATTGCACCACTAGCAGTTTTAGAGCAGAGGAGTGAGAAAGATGAACCGGCTTAGTCCTTCCACAGCTCTCTCCCAATACTTGAAGACTGAGTTCTGGGAAACAAGAAGGGACACAAGTGTGACTGTGTTAAAAAATTATGTGTGTGCACTGGCTCAGTTGTGCTTTTACTCTATGGCCAGCTTCTCCTGCATGGGCTGCCTGTCCATGCTGCTTGGCATTGTCTGTTCACCCACAGTGGGGGTGGTGTCAATAGGGTAGATAAAAGTAATTACATTAGGCTGCCTCTTTTTTAATGGAAGGGACAACACTTGTCCCTATATTTGAATGTTATTGCTGTGGAGGCACGTGTGTTTTTACCCATTTCTTTGGGGTCGCTGTCCTAGTGCCCAATTAGGCTGGTTTAAAATGCCTGCATTGCACACCCCTCTTGACACAGTATCAGGCAGAGCAAGAAGAACAGGCAGTGCTGTAAGGTTTTCAATTACATCAGCAGACACCGTTATGCAATGATTTAGTCACAGAATTCTGTTTGACACACAGGAAGCTATTTGGGGAGATTTTCTTTTTCCTCCTCCTAATCACTGCACACTTTCTGTTAATCCCTTTTTTTTTCCTTACACTGCACCATGCCCTCATAGGCAGGGCTCCACAAACAGCAGGGCATTGGGCTCACCGTGTTTCTTGCTTGGAGGATCTCCAAGGAAATGGCATTCATTGTCTGTCTGAATGTGACACATCTGCATTGGTTTTCAAAGATTGTGCACTGTACTGCTGTAGAAGGACTGTGGACCTGCAATGTGAAAGCACTTGGGTTGTTGTGATTGTGAATGATCCCATGTGTTGTGGCAGTGATCTGAAATAACTGAGCCACAGAGTGGCTTGGTTGAGTTTCCTGCAGGTTTGAATTTCCTCTGGTTCTAGATGGGAATATAGTCATTCTGCATGTCTTGCTCAACCTGTCAGGCTGTATTACTGTAAGCTGCAAAAGACTGTCCTAAACTGCAGTTAGCTGTTACTTCAGTGGACTTGGTAAAGCAGTGCCATGTGGCTACTTCATAGAGGCTATACAGAAGGGTGGCAAAAAGTTACACTGTTCAGCATAGTTGTGAATCCCAGGACATTTGTGTTCAGCTTGTGGTTTTGACATTGCCCTTTTATGTGTTCCCTGGAAAAATAATTCAGTCTTAGTGTTCCACTGACTTGTCTGCAAAATGAAGATATTTATTCCTAACTTGTAGAGTTAATCCATTCATGTTTGTAGCAAACCTAGTTGCTACGTGGATAGCAAGTATTGACAACTGCTATAAATAGCCAGTCAATACTGAATGTGATTGGCACAGACGTCACTGGAGAATGTGGCCTGAAGAGTTCCCCGTTTTGTTCACAGTACATTTATTCTGTGCTGGTTTTGGCATAAATGCCCTTTCTTTTTTGCACGTGTTCTGAAATGACAGTGTTCTGCATGGCTGCCAGCCTGCAGAACACCCACATAGTGAACTGCTCTCAAACGGATGCCAGACAGGAAGGGGGGCACAAATGATCTTGCAGGACCCTAATGTTTATTTTCCATAATTTCCTATCTCCCTGTGTTGGATGAATGGCCATGATCATACCTCTGCCTAACTGTGCTTCAGTTCTCCCACTGTAAGCTAGGACTCTATGGTTTCTATAGGGATTATGAGAATTTTTAAGTTGTCTTAACTAAGTTTGGGATTTTGTGAATACAGGTACACTTGATACCTGTAAATATAGATATGGGATTTCACTATGCTAGTAAGCATCAGAGCTTTAACTAATAAAATTAAGAATGGAGTGCAGCATTGCTAAAACATTCCTAGAGCTGATACCAGCCAAGTCTGTGGTACCAGTTACCTCAAAAAATTTATTTTGTGATCAATATTTAAGGCTCTCAGCATCTTTGTTGTGGAACTGTTGGTGGGATCTTCCCACCTTTCCTCTGCTGCAAGCTGTGTAAAGCTGGACTGTGGGAGCTACTCCCTCAGAGTGCAGGGACTAGAGTAACAGCATGTCCTGTGCTGTAACAGAGCATGTATTGATTTTCTGCTGAGTAACAAGAACTAATGATGGGCATTGTGTATTATTCATGTTTCATCAAGTTCATTTTTAAGCTGTATAGAGCAGCTGGGAGAAGGGTTAACTAGGGACATGAGACTGCGGAACAGTTCTACAGTCAAACCAGTGTTAGATCTGGTGACAGGACTTCCTGAAATATGTTCTCTATCTTTTTTTTGGGGGGGGGGAACTCTTAAATTCCTGGACCCTTTTTAACCCATGCATGCTTTCCTCTGTCATAGCTAGAAGTTCAAAGTGGAATGGCAGAGTAAAATAATGTGGCCTCAAGTTGCTCTCATACTCCAGTGCAAATTAGCAAATGGGGGATGTTTTTATAAAATTATCAGGGTAGTATGAGGTCAGATGCAAAGTAATTATCCCACAGCAGCTGGTATTTATGGATAGAAATAACCAACTGTATGTTGCCTGGGAGAGGAGTCTTAAAGCTGGCAACAGAAACAGCAGCTGACTGATTACTAGGGACAACAAAACAACCTAGTGTTAGCCTGGAGTTACAGTGCACTTCAGAATGGTGTAATGCAATGTGTAAGAAGCCACAGGGATTAATCTCTGAAAATGTCTGAAGGAATATTGATGACTTAAATGCTCCTGAAGTCTCACCTTTTAGGAAACTGATGTTTTTAATTAATGTCTTATGGCAAATGGTCTGCCTAGTTTTATTCCCTAGTTTTTGCAGCACTATGAGGTGCTCAAGTTTCTCTGCAGTCAGAGATAATTCCCTGATGTAATAAGGTTTTCAGAGTCAAGGAAGGGAGTGGTAAAAAGGTTCAGAAGTTAGGAGGTGAAAAGTGTTGTCTTTTGATAGGTATGGCAAGGGTTGCTACAAACTGCTTGGAGAATAGCTTTTCTTTGTAGAACATTTGATGACTTTTGAGGATATTCTATTCTACTTCAGCATGGATTTGATGGAGAGTAAGAGAAAGAAAATAGAAACATGAACAAGAAATTTTCTATGGATTACCTGGTACCTCTTTGGCTAACATCCTCACCTGTAGTGCAGGAAACCCAAGTTTGTTTCACTGGATTTAGACCAGGAACCTAAATTTGTCACCTGTGTAGTGGCCAAGTGCCCTCAGTGACTACTGGTTTGTTGGGGGGTTTGTTTTGGTTTGTTGTTTGTTTGGGTTCTTTTCTGGGGAATATTTTAACAAACTGGTATGTTATGGTTGAAAGCAGCCTGAGAAATTCCTGACCAAAACTCATGGTACACATCTAAGTGTCTCCTTGTCACTGATGATAGCTGGTTCCTGTTTCTTGCCATAGTGCTTTATGCCAAGGTGAACAATCACAGCTCTTAGCTGAGACTTTCTGTGAGTGCAGTTTTGTAATAAGTTTAATTTTATTTAAACTGGAAGCCGCTGCTGGAGGGTTTGATCTTGCTTTCTTCCTTTCCTCTTGGGTTCTTCCAAATATCTAATCATATCTCTCACTTCAGCTCTTATGACTGTAAAACGTTTTAAGACCAGCTGGACTTCAGGTCAATCCAACTAAGCCTGAGAAAAAGTGGTTGCATTTTGTGCTCCAGTCAAGTTATACCACAAACCCTCTTTTTAGGGAGGCAGTTCAGTCCTCTTCATAATTTTTATTTTGGTCTTTTTGCAGACTCAGCCAGAACACGAATGATTGCCTATACTTGATTCACATGTAGAAGGTTATTTTCAAAACTTTACAAGTCAGATCTCTATGACATGGTCTTCAGTTAGTTATAAAGGCTGAGCTCAGTATAGGCAACTCGCCCTACAAAAAGGATTTGCATTTAATTCTGACTCTTTTAAAGATTGACCAGTGGTTGCATTATGCCAGAAGTTAGGCTGCAGCAAAGTAAAATGCCTCATCCAGGAACTTGCTGCTGGGTTTATGTAGAAGCTACTTCACTGCCTTTGTTGTGCAAAATAACAAGAAGGAAATCAAGAAAGGCAGAATCAGAAGGTGGGAGTCCTAACTCTTACAGGGACGGTAGTTGTTGTCTATTTGTTCTGTAGAGGTCTGTTAGTGTTGTTGACAGTGTCTTACAGAGAAGTTGGAGTGGCAGCTTGTTTTTCTTGTGCCAGTAGGTTGAATGATGCCTACAAAGCTGTCTGCTCTGTGGTAATCTTCTGTGTCTCAGGAGATTG